CGATTTGTGGTTCACTGTTTTTGGTTTATTGTGATGTCTACGATATGTTAAAATCTATATCATGGGACAAGCTCACGCTATTCACTTTGACACCAGTAAACCTCCTACCCGTGTCTTTGAAATGGCAGAAAAGCTGGATTTCTCCGGTTAGCAGGAGATTTAAGGTACCATTGTGAACCTGAGTTTCATGCTTTATTTTCCACAGGAAATCTGTTCCTCACCCAAGATCCAGCACTAAAACCTGTGGTATACCCTCTCCCACCACGGCACTGTTCACTATGAAACCAGCCAAACGGCTCAGCCTAATGGATTTTCCAGGATCCAGTCAGATGAAATGGTTATTCATGCAGTCCTTCATGATCCATTTTACATTCCCTCTCTTCTTAACACATACACACATGCATGAGAGAGAGAGAGAGAGAGAGAGAGAGAGAGAGAGAGAGAGAGAGAGAGAGAGAGAGAGAGAGAGAGAGAGAGAGAGTGTATGGGGGTTGTATTCTTGGCATTAATGACAGTTGGTGAATCTCATTTATTTCCTGACGAGTATAAACACGTCCATGATTGAATGTGATTGTGCCTGTTCACCAAGGCCAAATATGGGGTCAATATGCAGTTACAAACGTAGTGCAAAAACTGTAAGATAGAGATTGACGAAAGGGCAAAAATATAATATTAGGATCAGTATTGGTGCATCTGCTGCACCAGTTAAAATTCTCCTTCAGGTACGTATTTTTATAAGAGCAGATAACAGCATACAAACAGTGTGAACCACACCAACATAATGCCATTTAGTTTAGCAACTGGATGACTAACTATTAAAAATGTTTCGTATAAAAAAATGAAGGTACACCCCAGAATGATACAACACTGTTAACCTACAGAAATAGGTTTACTTAAGAACCAAAAATCGTTTTATATGAAAAACAAATACACACATACCCTATGATATATCCAAACTTTCAAAAACTTTAATTTTACCGTGATATACATTTTTGCCCATACCACCTACTACTAATCACAATACATGAAGATATTTTCAGGACACATGACACTCATTATGATATTTTGCTTTACTGAAGTTTGATAAGTTAGAAAGGACGCGACACACTAGTATTACTGTATTTTAAAAACACTATCACAATTACATGCAGCAAGGCCAATTATGTTTTCATGGACTTATAGCTTTTTCAGGATTCAAACTGAAAAAAATAAATACAGCAAAACCTTAGACAGCTAAAGCGCTTGGGGACCTCTTCTTACATGTAGTTGGTCAGTGTTCTTTAAATACTAACAGTAACTACTGCATGCTCAGAAAAGCATATTGTGATATATTTAACACAATATATTGTTCAACTCTAGGGTAAGCTAGGAGTTAACTCTAGCTCGGTCGTTTTACTGGGTGGCTGCACACACAGCCGTCAGAGATGTAGGCTCTACTAAGAGATCTTAGTGTACTTTTTTATTGCTCAGTAAGCAGAGAAAAAAGGCTTCTCACATTCCACATCTTCTACATATACATAACTTTAAACAAAGCTGAAAGGTCATTCATACCAAAGCCTAAGAGCTGTAGCTGAGCCTGCTTTAATTCATAGAGTTATGTGCTGTCCTCAAACCCCCCCTGACCTAGTAAGATCCACTACTATGCATAAAATGTTTGGAAGGTGACATTTCAAACGTAAAGACTAATTAGTATCACAGTCTAAAGCACAGAACAACCTGATTACTTTCTATTCATTTTGAATGTCTGTTTAACGGGTCCAACAAACAAATGTCCAAATAAAGGCATTTGAAGTAGTATGTAAACACTGTTAAAGTTTCCAAATATACCATTCACCCCTCAGTCCATACAGTACATATATGGAAACTCAAAGAACAGCACATTTTGAATCCAGTTTTTGTGATGTCATGAAACAAACACATTTACATATATCTACCAATTCCGCCGCACCTATTCTAGAGGAAGTTATAGACGTGTTTCAGCCTGAACACAGGCACATTACAGGGCAGCCAACCAGAACAGAGCTCATTAACATATATCCGTATTAAAACTAAGTAACAAAAACAGCACAGGGTAAAAGGGTTGAAAAATGGTCAAAATAATTTACAACTGTGATACATAAACAGTGAACTTCTGGGTGGGAATGACAAATATAGGACATAAACTAAATGTATACATGAATAAATGAATAAATAAATGTACTCCAATTTAAATAGTAAATATTTAAGTACAAAACAAAAGCATTGGCTGTGTTTGTCTCATGACAGCATTCCTTAAAAATTTGTAGAGTTTTTCTTTCTACCTCTGTAAACAATTGACAATAATCCTACAAATAATCGGCTTATTTTTCCTTAAGTATCGGACAACTGTCTTTCTTCCAATAACTAACAGATTATGGCTGCCTAATTTATGAGCTGTCTTTGTTTTCTGTTACTGCTACCTACTTAAACATTATGTGAAAAGCAGAGGCAGAAAAAAAAAAAAGGAGAGAGATCTACTCACCTACTATCAGCAGCTGTGTCCTCCTCCACCTCCCCACGGCCTTACAGAGGGACGTGAGGTGTTCTGGACCTGAAAGACAAAACAAAAAAAAATCTGTCAGATATTCAGAAGGCATGAAGAAGTAAATGAAATAAGTGCATTAATTTGAGGGGGAACACAGCGTTCACTGCGGACCTGTTATTGCAAATATTAGCAGCGCAAGCTCACCAACAGAAATAGCAACAACCTGTTATTTACACAGCTTAACTAACGTAGGGTTAATGTTCAATTGAACCATGTCAAAACAGACTGATCAATGATTTGTGAGTGGCTACGTTATAGTGCCAAACACCCAGGCCTGAATGAACTCATGCAATGTACTATATAATAACTCTTAGAATCAGACACCAGTTTAAGGATCAATAGGACTGTACTGAAACTCTATGGAGCTTTAATAAACATAATTTATTAAAGCAGTCGCTCTCAGTTCTGATCCTGGAGTAGCAAGGTCTCACACATTTCAGTGCTCTCTCCTCTAACACAACCACTTCACTGAGGTACACAAGGACCAGGACTGAGAAATGCTGTATTAAAATATTTAGCTTACACAACTTTGCTTTATATAAATGAATAAAAGTCAGAGTCTGGCTGACTCGATAAGGATAAACATATCACTGATGGTGATTCTGAAAAGTGCAAACAACTTCAACATGAGCAAAACATCTTGGAAAATGTGCACCAAGTGTTGCAGGGAGACTTAGTGTATATTCTAGGCATGTAAACTTTCTACTTCATTAAGAAGCATTAAAATCTCATTTCACCACAATCCAGTTATTATAGTACCATTCATTGTTGATTCAATGTAACTGGAGGAACTATTTATACTGTAGTGGAACACAAGTGGAACAATACATCACACTTTTTTACATCTGGAAATGGCCCAAAAATGTTTTTTTGGTCAAAAGATAAGCACATACTTCAATTGGGCATTATTATAATTTAGTATAATTGATTCTACTACTCAAAAACCTCTGGTGTATCATAATACACAGATGCATTATCTATAATGCAATGTGCTGGTTAATGGCAGGAGCAGATCGCTTAAACCTGCTCAGCGTGGGCTGCCTTTCAAACACTGCAGAATTCTCCATGTGATGCACACACTGAATCACCAGTGACATGACTGCACTGTATCCATCACTACATCATCACCGCAAACACCCACAGCCAAACACACACAAAAACATACACATATACTCTGCCTCTCTGACCCTGTGGTTGAGAAGAGACACGAAAGTGGCTCCGAATGATTTCAGATGTGGGCTGTAAAAAGTGACTGAGTTTACACCTGGTCACGTCTTGTGTCTTTGAGTATCAGGACTATATCTGGACAAGGCCAAGCCACATAAAAATGCAAGTGTAAATGCACTCAAGACACTTTTAAAAACAGATAAAAAAAACTGATCACTCAAACCACATCAGGAGGCGGTCTGAGACACATTTGAGCCACATGTTATGGCAGTGTAAGCGCATCTGTCTCTCCAAGATACATTTGACAGTCAAAACCCGTCCCAGTACAATTCCTCACGATGTAGTACATCACTGGGCATATGATCTGTGTCTGCAAGGAAGATGATCATGGAGGACACACATGGTTGGGGAGCATTTCATTTTGTCTGGTCAAGAGCTATATGGACAGACACTACTGTGCAAAACAGGAAAAGGCTGAACAGACAAACAATTGGTAATCTGTTTCCACATAACGAGCCAATTTGCATATTATGTCCCACACAGGTCTCTGTTTTCAGTGCAATGATATGGGAATTGGGGGCCAATGCGAATATAAAATATTTCCATGTACATATCTGCTGATTCTGATACCAATACACAAGTTGGGATTTAATCTGCTTGGATTAATGTTATAGAGAAATGTAACATTTATTTGTGGAGCGTTGCTAATGATAATGGAAAAAAAATGCAAATGCAAAATGAACACATAATTTAGCACTGAAACCTAGCATCACCTCAACATTCTGCTCTTCCATAGTACAAGAAATACATCAATAAATATTAGTTTAATATATCGCTTAAAGAAAAAAAAAAGTCTGATGTTAATATTTAAAAAATGAAGGTAAATGAGAAAGGTTTATTGCCAATGCGGTTTTAAAAATTATAATACAATTCAATAAAATTCAACCTTTTATATTCTATTGTTTTTTTTTTAGAATTTTTGATTAATCAAAACTACACAGCAACCTCAAGTTGTCCTCTGAAACAGCCAGCTACTCCATCTCACCACACCATATCTTGAACTCAAACCCAACTCCACACCTCAACTTTGTAATCACTTATAGTTGACTTAACAGTTAATACAACTGGTTGACCAATGTCAGAATTCAATCCATGGTACAAGGATGAAAATTTGTAGCAGCCAGGCCGATTTGCCGCAGCGCAAACACACTTGAATACAAACACTGCAGCCCACAGCCAAAAGATACACAAACAGTTTACTCACAGCTGATTCTAGGGCTGCAACTATTAGTCAACCAAAAGTGGTTTAGACACCAGTTATGGTTAAAAGTCTATGTCCCATTGCATCATTTACACAAAATTGTATTTTACTTATGTACTATTGCTTGTATTATTATTGGTGATCCTGTATCAGACATTCACGAGAGGGGAATAAATGTTGGAAGTGCTGGGTAAAGGTATAGGCAAAGTAGAAAGGAATGAAAGGAATAAATGAAAGTGGTACAATCCTTCATTCAACAAAAGACTTCAGAACAAACACTATGAACATGTGACGTGATTCACAAACACTGCAATCATTTTCCAATTAAAACTTTTAGGGCAGCCCATCCATCTCCATCCATTCAGACATCGACCACAATAAACGTCGGTTTTGAGCTCTTGGGGGAAGTTGTCGTTATTTACAATTAAGAACAGAATCCTGGGATCAAACTGAATACATCTGTTCCGATCATCAAACTGGCATCATACGACGATCCTGCAGTTTTCCAGAGAGTTTTGATGAAGGAAAATCCCTCCAAGCAGTTTGTAAAGCAGCAGTCATGAGCCCAAAAGCCTTTACCTTACAGTTCTCATCCACCACACAAATGTCTCCCAAAGAGTGGCATCAGAGCGGAGCACCGGGGGATGCCAGTACCATCATGGTTCAAGATAGGATTGGGGTCAATCCCATTTCAACTCATTTAATTTACATTTCAGGTCAGCCAAAAAAATCAAAACTGACATGAATTGATGCAGAATCTAAAGAGATTTCACAAATAAGCAATTAAATTCACCTTATCAATTGAATTTATTTGTTGAATTGATGGAATTGACAGAATTGACCGTAACCCTGAAGCTGGCAGGACGCCAAGGCCTTAGCAGCGGGGTTGGTTGTCTTTGCATGAGCTCCATTGTCACAGCAACAACTGTCAGCATAGCACGTCTGATTGTTTGATGATAAATAAGGCAGTGAAAATTGTTTTCTGCGAGAGGGCGCCGGAGAGTGACGGTGGTACGTCTCATCTCTCCGATATGGAAATTAATTCGCATCGCAGCACCTGCGTTCATAAGTCACGGGTTTCTTTTCATCCTGGGGGGGCGGGTATTGGGGTGGGGGTGGGACAAGAAAGTGAGAGAGGTGAAAACAGCGACACAAATGAGGAGAGAAAAGGGGGGAAGGAAGGAGGTTTTATGGTGCTTAGAGAGCAAGACTTTATGAAGCATGGCAGACAATGAAAAACAAACACACGCCCACATATTTTCAGCTTCTTTTCTGTGATTCAATTTCAAAAGTAAGCAAACAAACAAACATCTGTTGCTTTTGCAATAAGGATATGTGTGACACACAAGACAAAAATGACCATGAGCAAATTATTACAGTTAAGGGTGGTGGGGGGGGGAGAAAAATACAGACAATGTTAAACAAGGTAATGCAAGGAAATATAAATGCAATAATAACGAGCCTTAAAATAAAATGAATCAAACAGTACCGTTACCAGCACTTTAATCAATGACCCGTGCTGTGACTCGTCAATAATGTAAGTTATTGTGTAAAGTCAAATCTGATCAAACTCATCAACATATACGTAGCAGTTTGTTCTACAGTAACTGAGCAGGATCAAAATTAGCCAGGATCGGAATCTGAAAATAATGGCTCCTAACATGCAACTGACAGTTGGATGATTTTATTTTGGTCAGTTCTTGTCATGTATATGTGTTGTTCATGCATATGTCAGGCCTATCCAAAATACAATAGTAATCTCTGTTGCACGTTTCCTTGACAAACACAAAACATTTGACAAAAAAATACCATTTATAAAGAAATTGGAATTGGCCATAAAAATTCAGAATCAATGCACTCCTAGTGGTTTTACTCAGTTTGGTTCATGTCCTAGTTGACCGTCCTTAATCCTAGGCTGCACGCTGCACATGCTTTTGGATGGAATCCTCCTGAATACATTTGACAAGATCATATCACTGTCTGGTGATTTTTTTTTATTTTTTGGTCTGCACCCAAAATAATCTCACAGTGAAGGAAGCGGACAGTGAAGATAACAACATGCAAACTCGGGTGTGGTTGCACCAGTCATGCCTTGTAGATAAAACGTTCTGTTTTCATAATTATAATATACATATATAGCAAGATGCAGGATGCAATAGGTTGGCTATTAATCATTTCAGGTATGACTTGCTCTCATTTGGTAGCTGCGGCTGGCTAATTGCCTCACTTAGACAGCTATGAGCTGTGCGCTATTGTCTGTGGAAAGGAACGTGTGCGGCTCATAGAAAGTGAAATTCAATTATCTCTCTCAGACAATCCCTCCCACACAACGCTCCAGTGTGAACAGAGGGAGGATGGCTCATTCTCAGGCTGAGAATAGCTCTACTGTAGACCACATGTCTAACAGACGGTTGTTTCTGGACTATAAATTGCTATTCATAATGTCACAAGCTAGGCCTGATCTCCTGATCTGATCATGTCTAGACAAGCTGGGCGGTCCTCACATTATCCGGGAAATGTCACTTTCCCTGTTTATACTTTGAGCATCAAAACACTAAAATGCTCATTTAGCAGGCAG